AATTCTGTTTTAAAATAGTAGTATGGAGCAATTCATATTTTGTATTGACTTGAAGCTAATATGTTCCTAATTAGCTTCCTTTGATAAATTTTCGTTATGTTTTATTCCTATTGAGTCGGTGCCTATGAGTTAATAATTAAATTAATTTTTTTTAATCTTTTTCGATAAAGTTTAAGACACTGGTATACTATACAAACAAATCAATAAAAATGAGTCTCAAATACAAATTAGCTTTAAAAACTTAGATTCTAATTATTATTAATTTATTTGTCTAATCTAAAATTGTTCATAATGTATCAATGTTAAATTAAAATAATTGAAAAGATATAGATTTAGTGTTGGAGTTAAATATTTTTTTCTGAAATGAACACTCCTAAACTAAATGAATTTTCAAAACTTTTCATAAAGCATCGCCTAAATCAGTAATAACTAGGAAACATCATATTTATTCAAATATATTTTAATTAAAATTGAAGTATAATTTAATATTTCAATGAGTAAAACATCCTAAAATAATTAGTCGAAAGAGCAATTTAGCAGTTGAAATTGTAATTACAAGTCTTGTTATGTCTTGTTCAGTCTATGTCTCTTATTTTATAGCATAACGCATTTAAAATTACGCAACTCAATTTTCGCAGGTTTTTTTATCTTTTTTCATTATATATTTTAATAAAAATATTTTTGTATTAATATATTCGACGCATTATTAATTGTGACCTATGCTCTCTCATTAACTTCGTATCTTTAATGTTTATTTGCAATTTTAATGCTAAGGCAATTATTTTGGATGAGTAACGCAACATATGTTGTGTAAAATATAAATGTCGCTATTAGAATCGTTTATTATTATTAATCTTAGAACTGAAAAATACTCTAAACATTTTTAGGTGTTGATAATTTATCAATGTATTTTAGAAAAAAAAATTGTTATCTATTTACAGTTTTAATAATTCTAATTGGAAGTCGAAGACACGAATATAATTAGAAATATTATAGTATAGTACGAATACTTTATTATCAATTCATGCCGATAAGATATGTTTTAAATAAGTCATAATGAACATAATTTGTTATGAATTACTCAAAGGAATTTCAGTAAATGCATTTTGTATTTATTAAAAGTTTTGTAAAGTTCTTCACTATTGTTAAAGAGTTTGTCCGTTAAAATACTGTTGTACTTAAAAAAAAAATTTTTTTTTTCATTAGTATTTTCTTATAAGTATGTAACTTCTTGTAAGAATGTAACTTCTTGCATATGTTCATAATAGTAACCAAGTTTTGCTCCTTATATTCATTGTTAAAAAAATTTGTTTTTTAAATTTAAAGCTGCTATATTTTTAAATTCCATCAAATATTCCTCCGCGAAGGATAGTTTGTTTCAATGCTTGATCCAAGAGTTCCCTCTTGTCCTCTGGTTCAGGTTCAAAATTACAAGGCTAGGGATTTAAGTATTGATAGCATAAAACTCAAAGATTGCTCAACGCCGGTAATGAAATAAAAAAGCTTTATAGTATGAAATTATCCATCTTTTCTATCCACTAAAATTGATAAAAGACAGATAATCATCTAAATTGTTGTGGAAGATATCAATTGATGGCATGATATAAGCATATACATGCAATAGTTACACACGCATATTCACATATTTGTAAGAATAAATCTTTCAAATATTAACTTTTAAATATTTAAAAAGAGTAAAATTGACGAAAATGAAAAGTTATTTTCTTATAACCGCAAATTAAAAGGCATACTGATTACTCGTGTAGAAAACCACCGATTTTTTTCAATTTTGTCGCTGCATTGAGACCTTTTTTTTTTTTTTTGTTCATCATGTGTGGTTTCAAAACACACGCTTCGTAAAATACAGTAGTATTTACTTTAAAAACCCAAACTGAAAATGTGATTGTTGGAACCGCATACAAATCTATTATGCTCACTTACTCTATTTACCCTAACAAAACCGAGATAATACAATGTGTTTGTATACTCACACTTTCATTTAAACTGAACCACTGCTCACGGCTTCTTCGGTTTTCAAAAGGGTTTCGCATGTGTATATATAAGGCGGATTATATGCGTAATGTAAATCATTTAAACATGTTTGTTGGTGAATGAAGTAATCTTACCCGGTAAGTGTAAATATAATAAAGTAATGCAAATTAATTCTTATCCGTGTGTTTAGTAAGCAAGTGAACAAGTAAAAGTGAAATACCAACTTTAGTGCAGAATATTGCAATTTCATTTCACCTGAATTTGTTTCGATTTAATGTAAATTGTAAAAAATATAATTTGCTAATGACTGCTCGGAAAAAAATTCTGGTAAAATTACCTTATTTTATGGTAATTATATTTCTGTTAAAAAATATTTCAATGCTTCTGTAACGTTCAAATGACAATGTGGCAAAATGTTTCAATTTTGTTGACGCAAATGTTAATATTTTTTTTTCAAATATTAAAATTTTTTCACAATTTTGCAAACTGAAACGCTGTTGAAATACCTTTAAAAAAATATTTGAAGCTTATCAAAGATAAAATATAGTAGAAATACATAATAAAAGACCTGCAAATAATTAAAGAAAATCACTAATTTTAACAATACAAATAATATAAAAACTGACCTTTAACTTTATTGTAAAATTAAGGTTTTTATGCATTATTATACACACAGAAAAAAATCTTGTACTATCACCGTACGGTATGGCAATAACATATCGAGTTAAAAAAATCATAATTATGACTAATGAAACCAAAATACACGGATTTTAAAGCATTCATTTGGTAGTTTTACCGTTCACCAAAAATTCTGTTTTTCAAAATTATTGTTCTTATTACCACACATTTAGTAAAAAACACAAATTAAAGTTAACCAAATTTTAAAAGTAAATTTAACTGAATAAATGGTTTTTGTGCCTTGCTTTCGGGTGTTGTGATAAAATTACCAAATTTTATTACGTTTACAACATTTTATCACACATTATAAACCATATTTTTTGTTCATTATGCCAAAATCATTACCAAAGCGCTTTGGTAAAAAATTCCAAGCTTTTTAATGTTCCCATATAACCGGAAACACGGTTAATTTCACAATTCTCTAATATTTTTTAACATATTTTTTTCCTCGATGTGGAGATTTGATAAATGCTTTTAGATATTTTTACAATATAATTCAGATTTTTTTCATTTATATTTACTTTGTGTGTTATCTAAAATAAATATGTAAAGTATTCAGCTATTGATTAAAACCATATTTATTAGCATATTATTATGTAATTATATATTTATTAAAAATAGACATGTAAAGTATTCAGCTATTTTAACTGTTAAAAAAATTAATTACTACTTAAGTTATATAAGACGAATTTAATTTTCTTCTAGAGATAGATTTTAAATTCGACCAGATTAATAAATTTTTGGCTTTGAATAGATAGAAACTTTTTTTTTAAATAATATTTTGGAAAGTGATGTTCTACGAGCATAAATTGTGTACTCAAAAGGTTTGTTTAATTTTTTTAATATTTATTTTATTAACTAGCTTATAAAATGACTGTACAAAATCGGATCTTGTTGTCCGACAGAATAATGCAGCTCAGCCGCAATTAAATCAGCCGCACTTAAATCATCGTGGTCCCGACTCTAAAGTTCCCCAGCATGTGCGGTTGTAATCAAAAATCAAGCCACATTTTCGTCCTTTTCTTAAAGTTGTGGAAACTGTTAATAAACTAAAATCTAAATTTGTTAATTGGTTAAAATTTTATAGATTTTGAAAAATATATATTCATTCAAACATTCTACGAAATATTCAACAAGAAAAACAGTATTTTTCGAAGTTCATTGTTGGCAAAAATCATGAGTTTAACGAATGAATACAAAAAATCGAACCAAAATTTACCAAACAAAGCTGTGATGAAATGTATTAATAATACTTAATATTATTCAAAAACAATATTATAGTTAAAATATTTTTTACTTACTGCTAAAATGGTTAAAATTATTATTTATTTACAGCAAACTAACCACTGTATAAATAAAATCGTGTTAATTGTTATTCAAGCTAAGCACCCCTATGAATTGTAATTAAATTTCATTACTTATAAACACTAACTGCATATTTATAAGTTTGAAAGTCACTTAAATAAACTTTACGTGTTATTAAATGTATTTAAATTAACTTAAAACTAAATGGGTAAAATTGAAACGTGTTAATCAAATGGTCAATGAAAATTAAATGAAAAAATTCTAGTTTCAAGCTACTTTTATCCACTTTTATATCTTTTATTTATGAGTTTAATATGAACATCAAATAATAATTTGTATACACCTCTTTTTATTATTTCTGAAGATAAAAGGTTCATTATAAATAAAATCAAACTAAAAAAATTGGAAAAAAATTATAACCTTAAGAATACACTAATAAATTATGTTGTCTACAAAATATTTTCCACTTAAATTAATGCTATAAAAAGATATGTTACTTGAATCAAAACATTTTTTTAAAAAAAATAAATCCAGTGATTTAAATTATACCCACCGTGACTATGATTCTCCCAAAATGTACTTGGCTAAACTGTTTTTTCTTTTATTATTTTATTTAAATTAATTGAATTTACTTAAAAAAATCAAATCTAATTTTAAATCTAAATGCTAAAATTTTCATTAATATTATTAAAATTATTTCAATGTCTTACCCTGTTAAAAATTTTAAATTTAGAGGACCGTGTCATGAACATTAAAAATTTGAAGGGTTTTAAAAATTCTTCTTATTTGTCCGCGTTTAATTTTGATTTTTCCAGGAAATAATTTTTGTAATTACCTTAGCTTTATTTACTTTTTTATTATTATTTATTTATTTTGTTATTTATATTTTCTTTTATAAACAATTCTATTTACTTCCCTTGGTAATTTCAGTAAGCAAATGCTCAATCGTATTATTTGTTTCGAACTGAATCCGTCATTTTATAAAATTGTATCTGTAATAATTCTTGTATATTATTTATTTTCAGGAAAGAGCTTTAATCTGACCATTCACGTTGCAACTAACCCACCACAAGTAGCTACTTACAACAAAGCAATTAAAATCACAGTAGATGGTCCCAGAGAGCCTAGAACAAAATTACGTAAGTGATAATTTTAAAAATTTTTTTAAACACAAACTATACTATGTTTAAAAGGAAGTTATCAAAATAACATCGTTACAATATTTAAATCTCATCCCTTTTTTACATAAAATAATCTATATAAAATATTTAAAATTTATTAAAAATTTAAATCAAAGCTTTCTGATGAAGACTGGTTATCATGGACCACATTATGTTGAATATTATAAGTGAGAAATTATTAAATTTGAAAGTAATCAAAATAGACTGATCTAATGCAGGGCTAAATTTTATAAAAACATCTCTATACAGGTTTGTTTTTAGGTAGTTTGTAAGAAGTATAAACACTTTTTGGAAATAAAAAATTCAATTTATAATATTTGGCAAAGACTTTATTTTACTTTTTTTAGATTTATAGATTGTTTGTTAACCAATATTCTATAATTTTATTGCTAAAGAATTGTCTAAGTTTTATTTTTACAAAAGCAAAAACGCACACGTATATAATCAAGTTAAGTTTAAATCTTTTCTATAATATAATAAGTACTATTATATAATAAGATGTTTTATGTATATAAGATGTTATTTAGCTATTGCAAAATTGCTAATAAATCTAAAAAACCTCACTCAGGGAATTTTGTACATTAATTTTTCCGTTTGTGTATTTAAACTTTTCATCTGTTAAAAACAAGAAATTATTAACTTTATTACGTTTTACAGAAATCTTATTTTACGATTAATTTTGAAATGTTATTCAACTAATTTTTAATGTAATTCAACTTTCTTTTGTTTTATTCTGAGACTTTTGATTAAAGTGTATATCAATTATTGAGTTTAAGTTCATCCATTTACATGATTTTTATTTATATTCGATGATTTTTATATGTAATCAGAAGTTCATCTATCTCTGCTAAATTCAGAAAATTTATGAAAAAGTTAGATGAGAGATATAAAAGTTTCATGTTTCTAACTCAGTTTATAACAGCTGAATTCGGAAAACTTTTGAAAATAATTTCCTTGGAAATTATTTTAAAACTGAATTTTGTAAGGCCTTAGAACTTTTCAAGAATCTCTTAATGTGTTTGTATTGAGCTTTCTCAAAGGAGCATCTACGTGTGTAAAAGGAATCTTTTTCGCCCATTTCCTAGAAAAGAACTTTGAGTTCTTAACTTGTGTTTGTACATGCTGTTTTTCATGCCGGAAGCCATTTGGCATAAAAATGCTGGTACTTCTTCTTTTTTGGAAAGGTCAAATTAATGAGAAAAGTTAAGTTTATACAGTTGAACAACTATTAAAAATCTCACCAAAATTTATAGGTAATTGGAAAAAATGTATTTTCTCTCTGAATTTAGTGTGTAATATTAATAAGTAGTTTAAGTTGAAAAATATGAAATTATATTTTTGGACAAACCCTTTTGTTAGAAATTTCCGTGAGTTCCATGATTCAGATATAAACATAATAATAATTATAAAAACAAAAAATTTTAATGAGATAATCTATTTTGCTTTTCTTGTTTTTAGTTTTACTTTCCTATTTATTTTGTTAAATTTAACTCTGATTAAGTATTGATATCGTAACCAAATATTTCAAAACAAATTATCATAATTAAAATAGACATAAATTTATATCAGAAATAAAGCGTAAATATATTTTTTATTATTGTAAATGAGCTTGAGAATAAAATTATTATTTGAAACTGAAGCCAATCACTAATATAAATTTTAAAATAAATTCAATAAAATAAATATCTTTAAAATTAACTTTATAAATTATTTGTATTTGCTGAAGTTTCTATAAGACTTCTCAAGTATATGTATTATAAATAAGCAAAAGTAAGTTACCTTTTTGAAATCCCTTCTCGTTTTAGCTTCTAAGTAAAAATATTAGAAAATAATTTTAAAAACTAAATTTTTAATAATTTAAGATCAAGGCATTCCATAGTACTTATATAAATAGAATATTGCTATATTAAGTAAATTGTTATTCTTTTTAATTTTATGTATTTATTTTTCTTCGCCAATTAATGTATGCATTTTTTAACTCGCAATTATTTTATCAAAAATATTTAATTAAGACAATGTAATAAATTTAAAATCGACTTTTTCATAAGGCAAAAATGTAGGCTTAACTTAACAAAATTCATATTTTAGCACCATTTTTATTGTATAAACCAAATTTATATAATCATATGCTTATGATGTTCCTATGCTAGGGCAAAATTTTGCCTCTGGCCAGTAACCTGTTGTAACATTTTTACGTGTGACCACTTTTTCAAAAATTAAAAATTTTAAACAATTAAAAAAAGTGTTGATGTTAATAATGTAAGACATTTTTTGAAGCATTTTTCAAAATATGGTAAACAATTATAAGATTCTAAGCAAAGAAAATTTTTAAGAAATAATCGTGAAATTTAAGTAATTTTTAGAACATTATAAAATATTTATGATAATTCCTTATATTTTTAAAAAATAATAATAATAAAATGAACTCGGGATGGGGTGTATTTTCTATGAAAAAATGGCCCTCGGGTAGCACTGGCAGACAAATTTTTAATCACTACCGTAAAACGGGGCGAGTCTACCCATTTTTTCAGTTTGTCAACTTTCAAGTGGTCAAACTTTTGTAAATATTAAAGAAAAAGGGCTTTTAATAGGTGTTTTGGAATCGCTATTTATCCCTCTTTAAAGCTGTGAAATCGATTTTAGAAAATATTAACAGTTACGCTGTTACTGTATATTTTTATAGAACTGCTGACAAATCTCTCGTATGGGGCGAGTCTACCCATTCTACTAAAATGAATGTTAACATTGTAAA